AGGCACAAACATTCTTGTACATGCTTTCTAGAATGTTATAAAACTTTCCATGAATACCATATTTTGGAGTAGGTGATAAAGTAATTTATTTCTATCAACCGAATCGAATGCCTTGCGGAAGTCAATAAATGCAGCGTAAGAACGGTGTTTAGGTTTTCTGAGATATGTTTGTGCTAATGACTGAAGTAGTAGCTTGGTTTCGTACTAGAAGGTATTTACACGTGTTTTTAACACATTGCAGAAAATGAAATTACATATTTACTTCCTTTGGCAATGACATTGTTAGTAGGCTATTATTACCACAGTGTTTTTCAGCCATGAATATCTCATATTAAATATAAAAAAAGTAATATTAAATTATATCTTCGGAAGATTTTATGTTTTTCGAAGAGGTTTGTAGTGCCACAAACACGCCATAAATATTCGAATGGCGGCTTGTTCTTTATGAGAAATTCATCTTTGAAGTGTTGTTCATGAGGTTAGTGAGTAAAACAATGGGTGTTTCCTAAGCGTTCGAAAACCGATAATAAAAGGACACTTTGATACACATGAGTTAAACAATGACCGCTCCCTCTAACTGTACTCGTTGCAAGACTGTAAAATGTTGGCTACGGTAATGTGTTGCCAGCATTAATGAGTAAAGACACCAAGCTTCTAATAGACCAGGACAAAATGATTTGTCCCCCGGGCGTTTCAAAGATGAATACGATAAAATAGTACTTTTGAGCTTAATAAGTGTAGCAGGAAGTTCAGAAACCAAAAGTGTTGTTTTATGAAATAATATTTCGTGTTTAATGGGAGTCTGTTTTCCAGCGTCTGTTGGTCATTTTCAGTCCAGTTGGATATTGTTATTAACGTAATTGTCTGTCTGCAATTAGAAGAGATTAAATGGATTATTACACTTCTAAAGAAACGTGAACGCGAGTGTGTGACTGGTTGTAAAAGTAAGGACTGATGGCGTTTTCATACCCTCTTAAAACCTAGCGCCAGGTAGGATAACAACATGTACCATCTTATACCGTATTTTGTCAGCACGTGGGTAAGGGCATCGAATCACCAACTTTCCTCCAGGCTTCATCCACTAATGTGGTCCGATGTGGTCCGATGTGGTCCTACCATTTTGTTCATTAACTTTTATGTTGATACACACCATCAAATTTGAGTTAGAAATCCGAGTTTCAACAACACGTGTTGCTCGGACTGCCAATGTGATAAAGCCTTAGGCCCTTTTCGCAACGACGGTAACTGAATAGTAAAAACATCTTTCCTACTCCACTCGACATTTTCAGGGTTAGAATCAGGGTTAGAATATTGGCCTTCAGTAACCCATGTTTGTCGTCAGAGGCGACTAACGGGATCGGGTGGTCAGGCTCGCTGACTTGGTTGACACATGTCATCGGTTCCCAATTGCGCAGATCGATGTTCATGCTGTTGATCACAGGATTGTCTGGTCCAGACTTGATTATTTACAGACCGCCGCTATATAGCTGGAACATTGCTGAGTGCGGCGTAAAACTAAACTCACTCACTCACTAGAAACATCAGAACGCTGAACCAGAGATTTGAACCCTAATTGTCTTGCACACTTACGGGCATATAGGCGAACCCAGCCCAGTGAATTGGGGCACATCGAATGACACTGTCGTGAAAATAAAACGGGGTCTTGTGGAAAACACAACTTATCTGTCGACAGTATACAGTGCACATTATGAAAAACACGTGTCAAGATTGTCTAGTTATGTAATAGAATTGCAGACTTCCTCTATATTATTATGCCTATCTCCCTATGGGCAAAGCAAGGGAAATATAGAAACTACAAAACGCTATATTCTGCTCTGTGCGTTACATGTAGTCTGTGGTCAAGTTAGGGGTAGATTTTTTAATGTATGTTTTAAGCATGATTCATTCATAACCAAAATAAACATTACAATGTGGATGTTCACTGCACATTAGCGTTACGTATGGTGATCTGTTTCAGTCAATATTCAACTATTACAAGATATATGTTACAATACTAATGTTGTGAAGTACTGTACGGAGAGTTATTTAAGCCATTGTTTCGTCATTACCGTTGCATGAGATAATGATGTTCGCTGTTCAATTTCAATGTATACGTTGTTTTGCCAGTAATCCGCCCAATCCAAATGTCACTACCACTAAATATTTCTGTGCTAAGCCCCTATTAGTTGCATTCAAAGGCAAAAGTTACTATCACATAGATTGATTGACTTCATCCTCACAAAATTAACCCTCTGGTGATGCAGGCCCCACTTGCACAAAGCAATCGCTACGATGATCTAACTATACGCTAACATAGACTTAAGATAGTCGTAGCGCACAGAACCCCTTTATGTGATCATATCTTCACCCTCAGGATAAGGTTACCAACAACCTCTTTCACAAAGCCCCTTTAGGCTAAGATCATCGTAAATAAAGACTAAAACTTTTGTGACCCTTCCATAGTCAAAACAATTAATAATGATATACAGTTATAAAGCGCCTGCATCCACGCACTTGTGCATGCTCAAAGCGCTAAGACATTCTCGTAATCCGCTTTAACAGAAAGAAATTCCAAGAATATTTCGGGATCGGACTTTTCACGAGGTACAGAATGCCACGAGCAGCTATCTTTATGATTTTAAAGGTAGTAAGAACGCACACTGAAGATTCAAGTAAGCGTTCCTATGCAATCACGCAAACACAGTTATTGTTAACACTTTGTTATCTAAGCTAAGGACGGTTCTTGATGGAGACTCATGGGGTTTCCTATTCAGGCGAATACAGGGCTTTCGACAGGACTATCGAGTGTGTGAGTGAGTTTAGTTTTACGCCGCACTCAGGAACATTCCAGCTATATGGTGGCGGTCTGTAAATAATCGAGTCTGGACCAGACAACCCAGTGGTCAACAGCATGAGCATCGATCTACGAAATTGTCAACCAAGTCAGCGAGCCTAAACACCCGATCCCGTATAGTCGCCTCTTACGACAAGCATGGGTTACTGACGATCAGCTGACTTGGTTGACACATGTTATCGTATCCCAATTGCGCAGATCGATGCTCTTGTTGATTACAAGGCGCGTAGCAAGCCAATTCTTTCGTGTAAGCCCGATAGGTTGCAAAGCTTTATATTTAGATAGTATAGAGGGCTTACCCAGCCTTTTTAGCAAAAATTACCTGTAAGCCCAGGCCTTTTTATCATGGTAGCTACGCCCCTGATCACTGGATTGTCTGGTCCAGACTCGATTATTTACAGACCGCCGCCATAATTATAGCTGGAATATTGCTGAGTGCGGCGTAAAACTCAATCAAAATACTAATACCATTCAGGGTATTTAGACAACACAATGGTTTTACATTCGCTTCTCCCTGAAATTTATATCAAGGTTTATAAAAGCTCAAGTTCAACTTACTTTTCAGGTGCCCAAGGCCTCCTTTTGTGATTGTTCGTCACCGTGTTTAAATAAGCTGAGAAAATCACATTACTGTGAAGCTTTACTTCGTCTGCAATGATCTCTAATTCCTTACTGAACGCACTTTTCAGTACACGTTTGATCAGACGAAATAAAATTGCCCTGCCATTTACTGTCTCAGGAATGGGAGATGTGGGTTAGAGACAAAGCTGGAATGAGGCTTAACATGATAGTGTGATAGAGGTAGAATTTGTTTGTGGTTTAACGCCACACATAGCTGTATGTTACCGGTCTTCACGTCTATACCAGCATGTGCATCTGTCTACGCAACTGAGATACGATCATATGCGTGAATCATATAAGCGAGCCTGATCCGGTTAGTCACCACTTACCACAAACGTGGATTGCTGAAGATCAATTCTAACCTGGGTCTTCATGGGTCAATTGAGGCCGAAGAAGAGGTAGGAGGGTGACTGAGGAATTGATGATGATTTGTGAGTGATTAGATTGAGGGACGGACGGACGGTAGAAAGGTCACTGACAGATTGGTGATGATGAGTGGGCACTTACGACTGAGGAAGGTAGGGAAGGAAGTGGTTAAGGGAAGAATGACGTGAATACTGCGTGTGTAAGTTGGGTTTCACGCGGCTTTTAGCAATATTCCAGCAATATCACAGCGGGGGACACCAGACATGGGCTTCACACATTGTGCCCATGTGGGGAATCGAACCCAGGGCCTTCAGCGTGATGAGCAAACGCTTGAACCACTAGGCTACCCAACCGCCCCCTGTGAATACTGAACATGAAAGACTAAGCAAAGTATGGTGTAATTGTGAGTGGAAATGATGGAGTCTGATTGATTGAGGGATGGAGTGTCATGAGGTAGGGGTGGATGGAAACACATACAAGAGTGAGACATGATATGAGGGAATAAAAATCTGACTCCAGATCATAGGTAGATGTTACTAGGGGTGGGCAATAATACAGGTTAACCAGTATATAGCAATTCAAACTTCACAATACCATATATTGCAGTACACTTTTCGCGAACCGGTTCACTGGATACAATCGGTAATTTTCTTGACATAGTCAAAACTAATAATAACATTTGTATTTCCTTTATATTATAAACATCAATAGCTTTGAAAATGTTTATCGGTCATATAATTGCATTTGCGTGACTTTTAAACCATATAAATAAAAAAAAATAGATTGGTACCGGCACTCCTTGTAAGGATAAACAAACCAGAATTCCTGCAGACGCTTTTTCTTGAGTTCCAAACTTTAGAGCAAGGTCTTCAATTTGGAAACATTTTCAACTGATCTTCCGACAGTGGCCAATGGCATTGTTTCAAAAGAAAGGAAACAGTAATTTCATTACCTTAACCAATGTGTTACACTTTCACAATATATTGCAATACATATTGTAATAGGCCAACACATATCACAATATACAGCAATACGAAAATTTTGGCAAAACCCAACCCTAGATGTTAGCTTTTTTAACACCCACATTCACTATCATTCATCCAAAAAGCACAAAGTATACAATTCATTCCATGACGTAAGCAAGCAAATATGATAACAATGACGTAAAAATAGATTTATTGATGACATCTGATACAAGAATGGCATTGTGATGGAGAATGCTAATGTTGATGATGAAGCTGCTGAACCCACCTCTACCTGGCTGACTTTAGCAGAGACATGATCTTACAGGCTTGAACACCATCAGCTTACAGAGCACAAAGACCAGCAAATCACACTGGGTGTGGTTGTACAAAGCAATCTTAGCACTAAGGTGACCCTAACTCCCATACCTTAACATACACTTAGGTAGTCTTAGCGCTAAGGTTGTTTGTACAACAGTACCCTGGACCACATGTTTTGCTGGGACTGGTGATACGCTCCAGGGCCTAGATTTTCGAAGCTCTCTTAGGGCTAAGATAGTCATAAGTGCCATACATTAACATTAACTTACGACTATCTTAGCGCTAAGAAAAATCTTCGAAAATCTAGGCCCAGGAAGACATTCCACAACGATTCTGTAGCTCTACAACTGATGTCCATGTTAAAGTATCGAAGTAATGATCACCATAGCATTACAACCTCTGAGTGGAACAGGACTCGGGATCCACTTGCACCAACAATCATTGTGTTAAGGCTACTATAAGTCTTTTTTAAAATGTGGCAGCAACAATAGCTTCAGCGTGAAGATCTCTTAGTGCAAGCGGAACCAGGCACAGCAGCATGTGTTTTGAGTATCCAGATCGGTCCATCGTTAGGTCACATAACAATATCATCTAGGTCAACACACTGAATCATGTAATGTCGGTGGAAACCCATCACAGACTTGGTGCCACTATGTCAAGGCTCCAAACACTTCTGTGGCAATATCGACATGGCCGATCTCCTTCAGAGCTATTTGTAATGCTCCGATTGTTGCCCTCTCTGGCTCGTTTTCCTGACAAAGAGAAACTTTGTATGAAGTATGCATTGGTAATTACATCGCTTTCAGCATTAATACAATGGTAAGGTCACCAGTAATGGAATTATACACCATAACCAGCATTTGAAATACCTGCTTGCCTGTGGCCGGGCCGGGGCTATTTTCAACACTGACTGCCAGATTCTCAAATTCACCTGCCCAACGGTCGGGTTAAAATTTAGACATGTATATGAAGATATTCATCATATTTCAGGATAATAAATCATTATTAATTCACTCGTAAAAATAAATGATGAATTCCCACTGGATGATAAACTACGTCGCTTGTCAAACCTAAATTATCTGACCTTTGGTCTGGTTGAAATATTGGGGTGTTTCATACCCTGCCATAACCGTATGGTGATTTGAACAAGGAAGCTTTGGCAGGAGACACAAATGCTTTTACCTAAGGTTACCTAAGCACACCAAATTACTTATGAAATATACTATGCTTATCATAAAATGCATTAAACATAAGTGTAGTTAGATGTTTGACAATTCTAACACATACAACACATCAGTATAAATGTATTACCTTCAACAAGTTGCCCTTTTCTGTCTGCAGACACTAGTGTACAATGAACAAGATATATAATCTCTGGCTGGGATTCATATTGACTGGATGGTCAGGGAGTGATAACCCAAAACCTAAGAACTCGTGTTTTCAGATTTTTATACATGACCTTGACCAAAAACTAAAAAATGTTGACAAAGGGCACATTTTTGTCAAACAAAGGGAAGGTGTAATAGAGATATCGATTATGTCAAGTTGGCTGCTTTTCACTCAACTGGACTGAGTGAGTACATGGTGTAATTGGCCGAGTGGAAATGATGGAGTCTGATTGAGTTGAGGAGGGATGGAGTGTCATGAGGTAGGGGGTGGATGGAAACACATACAAAGGAGTGAGATATGATATGAGGGAATAAAAATCTGATTCCAGATCATGGGTAGATGTTACTAGGGGTGGGCAATAAGCACAGGTTAACCAGTATACTTGTAATTTCGAACTTCCTATTACCATATATTGCAGTACACTTTTCATGAACCGGTTCGCCGGATTGCAATCGGTAATTTTCTTACGGCTGACATGAGTCAAAAGAAGCTAATAATAACATTTGTATTTCCTTTGTTTTATGAAAACATCAATGGCTTTGAAAATGTTTATCGGTCATATAATTGCATTTGCGTGACTTTTAAACCATATAAATAAAAAAATAGATTGGTACCGGCACTCCTTGTAAAGGATAAACAAACCAGAATTCACCAGGCGGCTTTTCTCAAGTTCAAACTTTAGAGTAAGGTCTTCAATTTGGAAACATTTTCAAGCCTGATCTTCCGACAGTGGCCAATGGCATTGTTTCAAAGAAAGAAACAGCAATTTCATTACCTTAACCAGTGTGTTACACTTTCACAATATATTGCAATACACATTGCAATGCAGCCAGTACATATCACAATATATAGCAATCACGAAAATTTTGGCAAAAACCAGCCTAGATGTTAGCTTTTTTAACACCCACATTCACTATCATTCATCCAAAAGCACAAAGTATACAATTCACTCCATGGCGTAAGCAAGCAAATATGATAACAATGACGTAAAATAGATTTATTGATGACACCTGATACAAGAATGGCATTGTGATGGAGAAGCGTAATGTTGATGATGAGGCTGCTGAACCCACCTCTTCCTGGCTGACTTTAGCAGAGACATGATCTTACAGGCTTCAACACCATCAGCTTACAGAACTTCTAGCGACCAGCAAATCACTGGACAGGTGTGGTTGTACAAAACAATCTTAGCACTAAAGGTGACCGTAACTCCCATGCCTTAACATACACTTAGGTAGTCTTAGCTAAGGTTGTTTGTACAACAGTACCCTGGACCACATGTTTTGCTGGGACTGGTGATACGCTCAGGGCCTAGATTTTGAAGCTCTCTTGGGGCTAAGATAGTCATGAAAGTGCCATACATTAACATTAACTCACGACTATCTTGCGCTAAAGAGAGCTTGAAAATCAAACTGGAAGACATTCCACAACGATTCTGTAGCTCTACAACTGATGTCCATGTTAAAGTATCGAGTAATGATAAGCCATAGCATTACAACCTCTGAGTGGAACAGGACTTCGGGATCCACTTGCCAACAATCATTGTGTTAAGGCTACTATAAGTCTTTTTAAAATGTGGCAGTAACAATAGCTTCGGCGTGAAGATCTCTTAGTGCAAAGCGGAACCAGGCACAGCAGCATGTGTTTTGAGTATCCAGATGGGGTCCATGGTTAGGTCACATAACAATATCATCAGGTCAACACACTGAATCATGTAATAACCGGTGGAAACCCATCACAGACTTGGTGCCACTATGTCAAGGCTCAAACACTTCTGTGGCAGTACTCGACATGGCGATCTCCTTCAGAGCTATTTGTAATGCTCCGATTGTTTGCCCTCTCTGGCTCGTTTTCCTGACAAAGAGAAGCTTTTGTATGAAGTATGCATTAGTAATTACATAAGCTTTCAGCATTAATACAATGGTAAGGTCACCAGTAATGGAATTATAAACCATAACCAGCATTTGAAATACCTGCTTGCCTGTGGCGGGCGGGCTATTTTCAACACTGACTGCCAGATTCTCAAATTCACCTGCCCAGCGATTCGGGTTAAAATTTAGACATGTATATGAAGATATTCATCATATTTCAGGATAATAAATCATTATTAATTCACTCGTTAAAAATAAATGATGAATTCCCACTGGATGATAAACTTCATTAAACTTGTCAAACCTAAATTATCTGACCTTTGGTCTGGTTGAAATATTGGGGTGTTTCATACCCTGCCATAAACCGTATGGTGATTTGAACAAAGGAAGCTTTGGCAGGAGACACAAATGCTTTTACCTAAGGTTACCTAAGCACACCAAATTACTTATGAAATATACTATGCTTATCATAAAATGCATTAAACATAAGTGTAGTTAGATGTTTGACAATTCTAACACATACAACACATCAGTATAAATGTATTACCTTCAACAAGTTGCCCTTTTCTGTCTGCAGACACTAGTGTACAATGAACAAGATATAAAATCTCTGGCTGGGATTCATATTGACTGGCTGGTCAGGGAGTGATAACCCAAAACCTAAGCACTCGTGTTTTCAGATTTTTATACATGACCTTGACCAAAGAACTAAAAAATGTTGTCAAACAAAAGGAAGGTGTAATAGAGATATCGATTATGTCAAGTTGGCTGCTTTTCACTCAACTGGAGTGAGTGAGTACCGTATACCGGGAAATTTTCGAGGTATCTAATTTTCGAGGTTTTCGAGGTTTCCTAACTTCAAACCTTTGGGTTAGATTTCCTATCGATAAGCATTTCAACTGCTAGTAACCAATGACTTCCTGACATGCGCATTAACTCTTTAATGCCTGTCTACAACTAATCTTAACGTTCAGTGACCCTGAACGGCCTGAATGAACAAACAACAGAAATGCGGTGTCTTGCGGTGTCGAGATTATTTAATTGTGTTGTAATTGTTGGTCCAGAATAACATGCATTATAAAAAATAGGTAATTCAATCAGTGTGTTACATGTGAAGTCAAACCAACTGTCAATACACTCGATGTCACTCTCTGGCCAAACGGACCGCATCGGCGATGCCAGGTTTGATGAATGCGCATCTTTAAGGGGATTGTTTACACAAACATCCTGGAGTGTCATGGCGTCATGTTTGAACACTGCCGACAGAGTGTTTCATGGGTAATTTATCACAACAAAGGAACAAAGGGTTGTTTTCATTACTATTATTTCTGCCATGGACTTGTATGCCCGGTAGTTTTATGCCGGAGAATATGTAAATACTGTTGCCATTCATGTGTTGAGGACGAAAAACATTTTCTTTTACAGTGTCCTTTTTATGAGAACATACGTCTTACTGTATTACCTAATATATTCAGTAACACATCTTTTACCTGTAATACTTTAGATTTTAAATTTAATTTTTTGTTATTTTCTACTGCTTTCTTATCTAACTTAGGTTTAATGTGTTTTAAGATGTTTTATCGTCGTAAATGTTTTAAGAATATTTCAACTAATTCTATCTAGTCATTATTTTATTAAATATTTTTACAATTTTATGTACCTTATATATACATTGTACTGTACGGTTATTTTATCTTATTGAAATGAGTTATATTTTACAGTTTTATACCGTGTCTCTTCGGTCTATTGAGGCCCTGCATAATCTATTTTATCTTTGTATATTTATTGTGTGTATACCTTGTAATTTTATGGCGTGACACGTTAATAAACAATTCATTCATTCATTCATTCAGTTATAACAGTCAGACGGCAGTTATCACTGGCTACTTGTCCATAGTTCACTGAGTATTAATCCGGTAAGTCATGTTTCTGGGCACTTTCTTCTAACCTCGAAATTAAAATTGTCTAAAATATTTATATATTTTAGGCCCCCAAACCTCGAAATTTAAATCACCTCGAAAGCTCTGGGGGTCTCAAACCTCGAAATTTTAGTACCTTGAAAATTTCCTGGTATACGGTACATTAATGTGGTAGGAAAGCCCACAGGTATGCGTATCTAAGACATTTACCACTTTGGTTAAACCCATGGTGATGGGTATGTTGCAGACAATCCTAGAAACATAAAGATGACGAAAAGGGAATTCAAATTTCTGCCTCGCAGAAGGGAAACAACTGATGACAGCAAATTGTTGAGCTGTGCGCCAATACCAGTGATGAACTAATCGTGAAAGTGACACTCACCATCCACACGGTCAGCATCTTGAGTCCTGCCAGTTTGGCGACCTTGTCACATGATTCCTCAAAGTAGCACATATCATCTTCTGGGAAGTTCAGTTCTGTCCCCAGCTTCTTCCAGTCATCTGCCAACTTCCCTGCCACTAACTCCAGCTGAACTTTCGTCAGTTGCTCCTCGGCAGGCTCGTCCTTGTCTGAAAACATAATGATCAACATATTTGCTGAGCATGATCATTCCATAATGCCATATTAGCAGAAAAGTGACTGTAACTCATAGTGGAGTTCCGATGATTGAAAAAAATCGAAAATCGATCGAAAGGAGGATTAAAAATGATTATCGATAGGAAACAAAATATTTATCGTTACACTAACTATTTAATTTGATGAATATTCACGAACAAACATGCGCTCAACAGCGTAAAGCTATGCGCATTGTAGAATTTTAACCACTTTTATTGTTTAATTACAATTCAAGTGTCTTACTTGCATGCGTGCATTTCACTGCATGACAGTATTAGTTATAACGCAAATTATCAAATCAAACTTATAAAGCAATGAAAGTTTAAGATGAAGTTAAATGTCAACAAAAACATGACCAGTCAACCTCTCTTGATATCTTGCTGTTTAGTTGTTCAAACACACACATATTTTCAACACTGACTTTGACCTTGACATGAATGTCATGGTGTATGAAATATGCAAAACTAGTACTAAAGAAATTGCTTATTGAAAAAAAGTCAAGGGAGGTCTTGAAAGTCTATGAAGAAAATCCAGTGAACCTTTCTTAAAATATCTTGCTGACAATTCAGGTTAACATGCTGAAATCTTCAAAGTGTCGTCGTGACCCTAAAAATTATGTGAAGGTCACCAAAATCGACTGGGCCCTTGGCCTTCCCTAGATGAAGCTTGGTGACAAATATGAAGAAAATCCACTGAATATTTTTTGCGATATCTTGATGACAATCTTAACATGCGATTTAACATGCTGAAATCTTCAAAGTGTCTCTGTGACCTTGAAAATTAAGTGAAGGTCACCAAAATCGACTGGGCCCTGCGCCTTCCTGGATGAAGCTTGGTGTCAAATAAGAAGAAACTCCAGTGAATGGCTCTTGAGGTAACGCGCTGACAAGCATAACATGTAGGTTAATATGCTGAAATCTTCAAAGTGTCTCTGTGACCTTGAAAATTAAGTGAAGGTAACCAAAATTGACTGGGTCCTGCGCCTTCCCCAGATAAAGCTTGGGGTTAAATATGAAACAAATCCAGGAAACAGTTCTTGAGATAGCTTAACATGCGGGTTGACATGCTGAAATCTTCAAAGTGTCGCCATAACCTTTAAAATTATGTGAAGGTCACCAAAATTGACTGGGCCCTGCGCCTTCCCTAGACAAAGCTTGGTACTGAATATGAAGAAAATCCAGAGAATGGTTCTTGAGATAGTTTAACGTGCGTCTCCTTGTGACCTTGAAATGAAGGTCAAGGTCACCAAACCTGACTGGCACCTTCCTTTTACTGTGATGAACCTAGGTACCAAATATGAAAAGAATCCCGTCAACAGTTCTTAAGATATTCCAATTCGTACGTACGGACAGAGCCTAATACTATATCCCCCGCAGCTAAATGCTTGTGGGGATAAACATTAATTAGAAAAAAACTGTGGAAAAACCCTTAAAATTGGTGATTACATTAAAACTGTATATATTTCGATTATAATCGATAATCGTTCACCACAAGTCCTCAAATAATCAATAGTGGATTTGGTTTCCGATTTCCAACACTAGCAACTCGTATACAGTGAGACCCGGGATACCCTGACCCCAGTCAGTTTTCATAAACACCAATCTCTTACATTATAAAAGTGACTGTCTAAAATGGATATGCAGTTTCCGTTTCCAGATGGTAAGTGAGTTTGGTTTTACGCTGCTTTTAGCAATATTCCAGCAATATCACGGTGGGGGACACCAGAAATGGGCTCCACACATTGTATCCATGTGGGGAATCGAACCCGGGTCTTCAGCGTGACGAGCGAACACTTTAACCACTAGGCTACCCTACCGCCCTTCCGGATGGTAAGTCTTACAAACCAACGGGCTAAATCAACACAAAAATGACTCGCTTATCCACGTGTCTTGACATGAGACAAGGTCTGCTAATCCGGATTCATGACGATCAGCAGAGTATTGGTGGTGATTTGTAGGCCTATCTGACACTGAGTGAATTGTAATTGGCAAATCAAAACAACCACGCTGTTTTGGAAGTGATTTTAAACCAGAAGTGTATGCTCGGTACCGTTTCAACACCAAGGCCTGGATGACAGTAATCCAGATATTCAGTTATCCAGACGATTCACATGAAAACGAATGTGTCCGGGTATCCGGGGTCTCGCTGTAATTTATAACTACGACAGTCATGGCACTACAAACATTGTGTGGAGTGGGGCCAGTGTCTTAGCATGACAAGGGCCTCATTCCATAAACCCAGATTATCACTAAGGTAACTCATATAATTTTTAACTACATCAGTCGAAGCTGTGAACATTTTGTGGATTGGGGCCTTAATATATGCTTGAAATCTTCTTAAAAGGCAATGTCCATAGTTCTAAGACTAAGCAAAATTTTGTCATGGTAACAAAAAATGAAGGAGTGGTGTGGATGGTAATCAAGCCCTTTCTTTTTAGTTATATTTTATTCGTTATATCATTGCTTGTCCCCAGTCCTCCATTTTATGATTTTGACCAAATCCAACAAATAAAAAATGACCATATATTGTCTCAGTCTTCATACTTAAAACAGAATTATGTTCTACAACATTGACACCTCTGACCCCTAATGCCTATTACATTGTTGCCGCACACATCTCAGGATATTCATTTGAAAACTTTGGGGACAAGAAATGCAGATAACCCCACATCTAGGCATTTGATTAACTGAAACACATTTCAGTTCATGGAAGACATAATTATGAAACCTCATGCAGGGTTTGATGTTTTGGATTTGAACCTTGAAAATCTGGACCATGTATTAAAAAAATTGAAGAACTTTGTACCTGGTTCATTGCCCTGTTTGAGGTCCTCTTCATCCTGTGTCTCTTTAATGGCCTCCTCCTCCTCCCCAATCTCTGTCTTCATCTCCTGTTGATCTCCATTCGTGTCTTCACTTGACTGGGACTGACAGATAGAAAATCAGCAATGAGGGAGTGACTTGGATGTGATGACAACTTAGGAGGAAAGCATAAAGTGATGCTGGTCTTAGAAATTTAGGACTTGGGTGAAACCCAGGACCATTGGTATGGTACTGACAGTGCTTGACACATAGCGAAACATATACAGTCAGACCTCCTTAATACGAACACTTTGGTTTTCTAAAAAAAAACGTTCGGATAGTGAAACGTTCGTACTGCTGAAACCACAGTATATGCACCGAGTTACTTCCCCTTGATATCTTTCCTTACTATCGAGACTCTGAGGTCATAGATGAAGCCTATGTTTATGAAGGAAATTATAAGCTTGTAAAACGTTATTGCTACTACATCCCATACACCATTTAAAAGATCTAATCCTACTGTTGATAAATATGAAGTTTATTTTTATAATGTTATTCAAAAACTATGGCGATTATATACAATATATAGGGAGATGATTTGGTGCCCGGTGAGTAGCGTTCGGAAGTCTGTGGATTCGGATTAACGAGGACCGGATTACCGTGGCCTGACTGTAGTTGGAAGAATATTGCTGAGTGCAGCGTTAAACCAACCAACCAATAATTACGGGCTTAGTTGACTGGTCTATCTGTGGCCCTGGTCAACAGTGAGTGATACCACAGTCAGCCATGTTCTATCTATATTGTTGTGGTCTGTCAACAATGAAATTTGGACCAACAGGCAAATGGTCCACCATTGATTGAAAGCATGAACAAGAAACCAGTAAACCTGACCATCCGGTCTTCAGTAAAAGTGGCAGTTGTACAAAGCAACCTTAGCACTAAGACAAGTCTATGTTAAGATATGGGAGTAACTAACACCTTACAGCTAAGATCACTCTGTACAATAGCACCCAGATCCAGATTTTAATCTGCTTTTACTAGACATTGGTTCTGGACACCTATTTTGACCTGGATTGGATAACCGATGACCTCTCTCAGTTTGGTCACGTTGTGACGAAACTACTTGTTCATTCATAACAAACACGTGAATTCATTCATTCTTCAACTTAGATGCATTGTGGGAATGTAAACATTGTGGGAATGGAAACATTGCGAACGTTGCCGTGTCGCTGTTTAATTGTGAATCGAACTGAGACATTATATCCGTTGAAAAACATACACGCAATGTTTCCACCAGTGATGTTAGCCGAGTCAAGCAGTTGCAAACCAAGAAACGGGGTGCTACGGAGTAGTTTACTGAAGGATGCTGTACGAGAGGCGATGACAACTGACATGCATCGTGATGTCGGTTACCAAGGGGACAGAATGGCGTAGTGATGTCAATACAGTGTGACGTCATGCAAAAGTGTACGTCAGAACAAATTCTTCCGCAACCTCTTTATGAAACCACAACAATACCAAAACTACGCTATTTTGTCAATTTAATGCATGTAAGACGTGGGTAATAAATAAAATACCAGACTCGGTCTCATTACATACGAATTATACAAAATTCGTGACCTTTCTATGGTTTCTGACCTCGCTTTCGCTCGGTCAGATACCATATGAAGGACACTCGTTTCGTATAATTCGTATGTAATGAGACCTCGTATAGTATTCTCTATATTATGTCATTCTTTTGGGAATATCTATATCTGCAGCACTTTAAACCACAAGATTTTCTTTTACAGCAATAAAACCTTACTGGCATTTCTGTGGCCAGTTTCTTGACCATCAGTTCCAGGTATTTGGGAATGGGTATTGCTGGAGTGTTGTTGTGAGTGAAGAAATGTGGACATCTACGGGCAAGGAGACGTAAAGCCTTCCACTGGAAACTTTGTTCGTAGATGAGTCTAAAAGCAAGCATGATAAAAACATCAACAACTGATCATATCATCTTCAAAAAAAAAAGTTGTCATAAAGCAGTTTTTTTAAGTGGAAAATAATCAGAAGCTACCTTTTACAAAGTGGTAACAAAAGGTGACAATACTTGTCTGAATCTATTTCACGCACTGTTAGTGTTGGTTGGAAACTGTAGGACCGCTGATTCCCACAAAATACAAAAGACACACTCAGCATTAATACAGTAACACATATAGTAACCAAGAATCCCCACAGGATCACTTCCTGACCACAGGGATGTTTCAGCCTGAGTACTAGAGTGAGTTTAGTTTTATGCCGCACTCAGCAATATTCCAGCTATATGGCGGCGGCCTGTAAATACTAGTAATCGAGTCTGGACCAGACAATCCAGGGATCAACAGTATGAACATCGATCTATACAATTGGGATACGATGACATGTGTCAGCGAGCCTGACCACCCGATCCCGTTAGTCGCCTCGCACGACAGGCATGGGTTACTGAAGATCAATTCATACAGCAAGGGCAGCACTTACTTGTAGTTGTCTTCAATCATCGCCTCAGGGTCATCCTGCTCAATGGCTTCTCCAAAGAAGTCATCAAGCTGGGGTAGAAAGTCTCTGAAAAAACACAATGTGAAACAAAATATTAAAACACTGAATTATTAACAAACACTACCATGATTACAATCTGAAACTTAAGGTCAAAAGAGAGCATCGTATTAACAAATTCAGTGTTGAGTGTTACATGATCTCAGTATCATGGATATCAAGGGATATGATATCAGTGTATCCCAGCATTATGATAAAGGATGGTATGACATGATAACAGTACAATATGATGATGGATATCAAGGGATATGATATCAGTGTATCCCAGCATTATGATAAAGGATGGTATGACACGATAAAAGTACAATTTGATGATGGATATCAAGGCATATGATATCAGTGTATCCCAGCATTATGATAAAGGATATTCTGACATGATAACAGTACAATAGGATGACGGACATGACCTAACAGTCATAAATCAAGACGCTACCTCTTTTCATTCTTGCAAGCATCCATGTTGTCTGGATTGATGTTCCATAGTCGAGTCAGCTCTGCACTGCCCATCTTGATAATCTTCCCACCACCAGCTTTTAAGTCGTCCCCAATACGTCGACGCTTAGCTCTGTACATTCAAGACGGAACAATGAGATACAGATGAAGCTAATAACCTGCATAAGTCACTCAACCCTAACATAGATAAATGAAAGGAGGCAGGAGTCCAGCATAAGCGTACCTGACTTTCATTTTCGGGGCATCCTTTGGCGTCTCCCTCTCATAGCTGGGGCAGCCCTCATTCTTCCAGTTGTTCCAATTCTCCTCCCTCTGCAGGATGTGCTGTAACATGGACAATATACTGTTACATACAGAAGGTGCTGTAACATGGACAATATACTGTTACATACAGAAGGTGCTGTAACATGGACAATATACTGTTACATACAGAAGGTGCTGTAACATGGACAATATACTGTTACATACAGAATGTGCTGTAACATGTACAATATACTGTTACATACAGAGTGCTGTAACATGGACAATATACTGTTACATACAGAGAGCTGTAACATGGACAATACACTGATACATACAGAAGGTGCTGTAACATGGACAATGTACCGTTACATACAGAGTGCTGTAACATGGACAATATACTGTTACATACAGAGTGATGTAACATGGACAATATACTGTCACATACAGAAGGTGCTGTAACATGGACAATATACTGTTACATACAGAATGTGCTGTAACATGGACAATGTACCGTTACATACAGAGTGCTGTAACATGGACAATATACTGTTACATACAGAGTGCTGTAACATGGACAATATACTGTCACATACAGAATGTGCTGTAACATGGACAATATACTATTACATGGAGAATGTGCTGTAACATGGACAATATACTGTTACATACAGAATGTCCTGTAACATGGACAATATACTGTTACATACAGAATGTGCTGTAACATGTACAATATACTGTTACATGGAGAATGCTGTAACATGGACAATATACTGTTACATACAGAATGTGCTTGTAACATGTACAATATACTGTTACATACAGATTGCTGTAACATGTACAATATACTGTTACATACAGAATGTCCTGTAACATGGACAGTAATACCCGTTACATACACAGTGCTGTAAACATGGACAATATACTGTTACATACAGAGTGCTGTAACATGGACAATATACTGTCACACATACAGAAGGTGCTGCAGGATGTGCTGTAACATGGACAATATACTGTACATACAGAAGGTGCTGTAACATGGACAGCATACTCGTTACATACAGAAGGTGCTGTAAATATGGATAACATACCGTTACATACTAGCGTTGCAACATGGATAATATACTGTTACATGCTGGCAGAAGGTGCTGTAAAACATGGACAATATATACCGTTACATACAGAGCGCTGTAACATGGACAATACACTGATACATACAGAAGGTGCTTGTAACATGGACAATGTACCGTTACATACAGAGTGCTGTAACATGGACAATATACCGTTACATACAGAGTGATGTAACATGGACAATATACCGTCACATACAGAAGGTGCTGTAACATGGACAATATACTGTTACATACAGAATGTGCTGTAACATGGACAATGTACCGTTACATACAGAGTGCTGTAACATGGACAATATACTGTTACATACAGAGTGCTGTAACATGGACAATATACTGTCACATACAGAATGTGCTGTAACATGGACAATATACTATTACATGGAGAATGTGCTGTAACATGGACAATATACTGTTACATACAGAATGTCCTGTAACATGGACAATATACTGTTACATACAGAATGTGCTGTAACATGTACAATATACTGTTACATGGAGAATGTGCTGTAACATGGACAATATACTGTTACATACAGAATGTGCTGTAACATGTACAATATACTGTTACATACAGATTGCTGTAACATGTACAATATACTGTTACATACAGAATGTCCTGTAACATGGACAATGTACCGTTACATACACAGTGCTGTAACATGGACAATATACTGTTACATACAGAGTGCTGTAACATGGACAATATACTGTCACATACAGAAGGTGCTGTAACATGGACAATATACTGTTACATACAGAATGTGCTGTAACATGGACAATATACTGTTACATACAGTGCTGTAACATGGACAATATACTGTTACATACAGAGTGCTGTAACGTGGACAATATACTGTTACATACAGAATGTCCTGTAACATGGACAATATACTGTTACATACAGAATGTGCTGTAACATGGACAATATACTGTTACATGGAGAATGTGCTGTAACATGGACAATATACTGTTACATACAGAATGTGCTGTAACATGTACAATATACTGTTACATACAGAGTGCTGTAACATGGACAATATACTGTTACATACAGAGTGCTGTAACATGGACAATATACTGTTACATACAGAAGGTGCTGTAACATGGACAATGTACCGTTACATACAGAGTGCTGTAACATGGACAATATACTGTTACATACAGAGTGATGTAACATGGACAATATACTGTCACATACAGAATGTGCTGCAACATGGACAATATACTGTTACATACAGAATGTGCTGTAACATGGACAATATACTGTTACATACAGTGCTGTAACATGGACAATATACTGTTACATACAGAGTGCTGTAACATGGACAATATACTGTTACATACAGAATGTGCTGTAACATGGACAATATACTGTTACATAGAGAAGGTGCTGTAACATGTACAATATACTGTTACATGGAGAATGTGCTGTAACATGGACAATATACTGTTACATACAGAATGTGCTGTAACATGTACAATATACTGTTACATACAGAGTGCTGTAACATGTACAATATACTGTTACATACAGAATGTGCTGTAACATGGACAATATACTGTTACATACAGAGTGCTGTAACATGGACAATATACTGTTACATACAGAATGTGCTGTAACATGGACAATATACTGTTACATACAGAGTGCTGTAACATGGACAATATACTGTTACACATGGAATGTGCTGTAGCATGGACAATATACTGTTACATACAGAGTGCTGTAACATGGACAATATACTGTTACATACAGAGTGCTGTAACATGGACAATATACTGTTACACACAGAATGTGCTGTAACATGGACAATATACTGTTACATACAGAATGTGCTGTAACATGGACAATATACTGTTACATACAGAGTGCTGTAACATCTGAGTGCTGTAACATGGACAATATACTGTTACATACAGAGTGCTGTAACATGGACAATATACTGTTACATGGAGAATGAGCTGTGATGTGCAGTATGTGCTCTGAGACATTCGTAACATGTACAATATACTGTTACATGGAGAATGTGCTGCAACATGCAACACGTTCTGATACATGTAGAATGTGCTATAACAGGCAGTATGTGCTCTGTGACATTTAGAATGTGCTGTAAAATTGAGAAAATGTTGTTAAATACTGTACATGCTCTGTGACATGCAGAATCTGCATTAACTGACTGACTGACTGAGTTTGGTTTTACGCCGCTTTTAGCAATATTCCAGCAATATCACGGCGGGGGACACCAGAAATGGGCTCACTCATTGTACCCATGTGGGGTTTCGAACCCGGGTCTTCGGCGTGACGAGCCAACGCTTTAACCACTAGACTACCCCGACGCCCCATGCATTAACCATACACATTAGCCTGACCACACCTACACTCTCCCTACCTGTCCTGTAGCAATAGCCTCTCCACCTCTGGCAGTGTACTTGTGATAAGCTGATACCTTAGCCCCACTCATCCCTAAAATCCGTACCTATACAACCTTCCTACATCAACTATGTTAGCAATGTCCCCCCCCTCAGGCAATGTGTCTGCGATCAGCTGATACCTCGGCCCTATCCACCCCTTATCTACCTCAACTGTGGCAGCAAACTTCTCCCCCTCAGGCGGCGTCTCCCTGATCAGCTGATACACCTTCTCCTGGGCATTCTTTAACCAGTTGCTCTGATCATCATTCAAGACCTGGGTAGCACTAGGTAGCATTAAAAAAGAAACCAACATTTAGATGTCAACAAATGCAATGCATCGATAATTTGATCAGTTGTTTACAAGCTTATGCCATGAAATCTTATCTAAGGAGCATGGTGCTCATCATTTAGTTTATGTTAGACAATACTATAAACACAGATTGAACAGATAGTAAGTGTTTTGTTGTGACTCACTTCTTGAACTTGACCTGAAGGTTGAGATACTGGAAGAGGATGAGGAACTGGACCAACACATAGCGCCGGAAGTTGCTGTCACTCAGCTGCAGATCTAACAGCTGAAATAGTGAGTGAGTTTAGTCTTATCACTCTGCTATAGATTCCACTGCTAAAATACTCAGAGCATCATGCCTCAATACCAGAGTGTACCAAAACAAGTCTAACACTTTTGGTACATTTACAGAGTGGATTACTGTGTAACTTCAGGCATATGTCTACCCTGGAACACACCCCGGGTATATCGAGGAAAATGCTAATAGTGAGTGAGTGAGTGAGTATAGTTTTATGCCACTTTTAGCAATATTCCCGCAATATGACAGTTGGAGACACCAGAAATGGGCTTCACACATTGCATCCATGTAGAGAATCGAACCTGTGTCTTTGGCATGACAAGTGAACGCCTTAACCACTAGGCCACCCCACCGCCCTGTAAATGCTAATAGACACACAGGGTGAAAACAGAATGACTGTACCTTTTCACTGGTGAGGTACTTTGCAAAAAATGTCTGTGTTTCCAGTTGTTTCCTGGCATTGGGGTTCTTCCTCTGGGACTTCAGATCATCCAGCTTCAGACTGTCAAAGGCTGCCAGCACCTCGTCTGCATTCTTTAATAACAAAAGTCACAATCAGGACTGAATGGCATCAATATCAATAAAATCTTGCCAATATTGATCATTCTAGATTAACTAAGCATTACATTGAGAAAATCATGAGAGCTCAGAATTATAGAGAAAAGAATTACCACAACAAACTGTTTCCATGCAACTTTCTCGTAGCATTGTGCCGGTTTTCGGAAATATTCCTGCAGTGACCAGAATCTCCTATAAAGGTTGTAGTCTATGGGAACACCACTAGAGCTGCAATGAAGAGAAGACCAACATAATGATGGGGACTTTCGGAATAAGATAAATCAGGACATCACTGAAACTGGAATAGTGTAAAGGGAGATAACCACGAGCAACTAGGATATATGACAGATCAGGATGTCATTAAAGCTTGAACAAGGAAAAGGGAGATATTCACAGGGAACTAGGATATACAATAAATCATGATGTCACGAGAGCTGGAACTATGTAAAGGGAGACAACCAAAGGAAATTCAGGATATAGGTCAGATCACATGTCACTGGCACACAGTAAAGGGAGATAACCACAGGGAACTATTACATACAATACATCAGTACATCAGATTGGAACACACTTGGATTGTGATAATATTATCACTTCCTTGACTGAGGAAATCCAGTTTGTATTGGAAGGTTTTTAAGTTTACCTGGAAAAGTCATCCATTTCCCCTTCCTCAACATCCATACTTTCATCCTTGCTGTCATCCTTCAGCTAAAATCAAAACAGCATATGTTCAACTCCAGAAATGTCAACTTCAGAAATATTACTCCAGAAAAATTTGTATTCACATATCATTCCTATATAGAATATTAAACCTGAACATTTGCCAAGACAACCTTTACACTTTAATCACTTAACACTCTTTACTGGGAAAGGTGTTCATGTATACAATTCAAATTCAAACTGGTTGCTGAAGTGATTTCCAAACAAAAACCTCAGAGAAGAATCTTACTTAGCTAAACTCTGTGCAGTTACATTCTTTGAATAGTACAAAAGATGGTAAGGAGAAAATACCAATGCAGTTTTTACCTTTATTTTGCGTTGATCTGACTTGACATTGTACACAGTGACGTTGTCCAGGTTAAACTGACTCATGAGGTTGAGAGCCGACTTCTCTGACAGCGGGAAGAGTCGGGACAGAAACAGTTGAATCCGACCACAGAAAACTGTGTTCTGGGACTTGCTGAGACGACGAATTAAATCTACAATGATGACAACAGGGTTCGTACAAATTATCAGCCATCAAAGTTAAAGGCCTTTTCAGGCGCTTTTTAAGACCCAATCAACAATTTTAAAGAACTATAGAAATAGATATAACACATAAGTAGTTGAATACACACAAGGTTGGTCAAATGTGGGACCGACCATCAGAAAGAAAAAAGTCTTAGCTACATCACTGCACTGGGCAAGTTTTGCTTCACGATGGAGATTAATCAACACTCACTGTCAATGCAAGTTATTGTTATTATGCAAAATATTGTTTCCTGTAAAATCATAACTTGACAAGTTTTGCACAATATAGGACATTTTCTGGGGAATCACTGGCAATTTGGGCCATTTCAAGGCTAAAACTATTATAAGGACTTATTAGGGTAAAATGTCCAAATTTTAGGCTTTTTCCAGCCCGTGTGAACCCAGGATAATAGAGTCTTTGAAACCAAATTCTTTTAAACATTATTTTAAATAAAAACAGTCTGTGTCAAAACATTTTACGTCACCTTAGCCCAAACCTTTGTTCTGGCATATTTTCTCCAGATTTCTCTCAATATTGCAAACAATACTAAAGCATAACTTCAGACTCTCGTCTTATGAGCACTGGCTTTGGGGGTCATATGTATTACAATATGACACGCTTCATGTCCCTTTGAGGGGCGGTGGGTAGCCTAATGGTTAAAGCGCTGGCTCGCCATCAAGACCCGGGTTCGAATCCCCACATGGGCACAATGTGAAGCCCATTTGGTGTCCCCCTACCGCGGATGTTGCTGGAATATTGCTAAAAGCGGGCGTGAAACCAAATTCAGTCAGTCAGTCAGTCATGTCCCTTGAGCTTTAGAACTTGCTGTTTGTGTACCAAGCCTTTTACCTGGGTTAATTTGATAAAAATGATACATATATAAAGTATAATATTTATTTTGGGACTTGCTCCTGTTTAGATTTTCTCTTGAAACTGATGAGCATCAAAACTCCAATGTATACTTATGTATTTGATCGTGTTAGAGGACCCAAACGTAAGCAAATGTAAGTAAGCTAAAGGGGCTGGCTGTCAGTTATTTTAACATATCAGCTTTATACTTTGAATTTTGACATTTCTGTTGGATCTTTTATCACTCAATAATTACACTAATAATAGTATTAATAATTTTATAAAACTAATCTGAGCATTACATATGGATATAGAATCAGTGTCAGGCCTACCGCTTTCTGCTGCAATTTAGCAGCTTCACATTTGGTGTTAGTCTGTTATTACATGTCTTACTAAAATATTTACAGTGAAAAGAGACAGCAACAGTACATTCTAAATATTGTAGTAAAAAAAATCACAACATACCATTGCACATTCGTAGGAGATAGTTTTTTCCTGCATCATAAAACATGCTCTGAAAAAAAGGAAATATGTGTCAATTTGCAAAATTGAGTTCACAAAGACAAGTATACAATATTCATGGCTCGTTAATAAACTCATGCTATTTGTGCACATTATCAGAAAGTCACTGGAAAATGCTTGATAAAGTCAAAGCATTCCTATCAGGATGGGACAATGAAAGGAAAAAGAAGTCGAAGTCAACCCTTCCCTTATTGATTCTACAGGTACTACATGCCATGTTATTGATGACAATATACGAGGCCTTCAACAAGCCTTCACTCACAGACTTCCACGTTGTCACTTTCTCCTCCACGATGTTGAAGACCTCCTCACACTTGTCCAAGGTCATCATGTCAAAGATGTCTGACAACATCAGGAATGGAGTGGAGGCAGAGCACATCTCTGTGAGAAATAATGAACACAGTCATACAAAGATCAAATAGTCGAAGATTAATGTTTGCTTAACACCACACTCATCAATATTCCAGCTGTAGGACAGCGGCCTGTAATTAATCAAGTCTGGACCAGACAATCCTGCAATGGGTGAGGTGAAATTGGGTTTAACGTCCTGCTTGAGAATATTTCGCTCATATGACGACATGCATGCGTGTGTATGTGTATGTGCGGCTGCTTGTGAATATTGTTAGCAACAATCAATGCATATTGAGTACAGTGAGTGAGTGAGTGAGTGAGTGAGCGATGCTTCATTTTATGCCGCTTTTAGCAATATTCCAGGAATATCATGGCGGGGAACACCAGAAATGGGCTTCACACACTTCGACCACTAGGCTACTCTACCGACTCGTATTGGGTACAATGACACACTATCAACCAAGTCACTGAGACTGACCACCCTGACCACCATTTTGTCATTTGACCAGAATAGTTGTCGAGGACTTGTTTTACCTTATCTCTCCTCTATATTGTTACATATGTAAAGAGAGACTGACAATTAGTCCTTGAAATATAGTCATGTTTAAGGTTTAACAAAACTAGTTCGATAAAGAACACTTTAGCATCGAGTTCCTTGATGACTCTTGATTTCCAAGCAAATAATTAGGAGATAAACATACTGCGTTGGAAAATCAGAGGTATATAATGAAATTGTAATGTATGTTGATCTCCATTCTACCATAACCGTGTTATTAAGATTTTAAAGAGATATTTACTGTGTTGGAAAATCAGAGATATATAACATGGTCATATACCTCTGAATGACTTTAATTAACCAATCACAATCTAGTTTTTACTAAAGTCATGGTAGAATTTGTTAGATCATGAGTTGTGATTGCACATATCTTCTCAATCAATTATGTACAATCCATTACTGTCCAAACATCATTCCTTCAGGCTGGCTCAGGGGAGATAATTCATAATTCCTCATAGGTCTTTTCTTTTTAATGAATGCAACACCAGTCTTTATCATGACGTACATGTGTACATTCTTATAAATGTTGAATTATATGTTTTAGGCATCAAATGTTTTTGGCAGTGTTTTCTCACACTATAATTAGGTGGGTTGTGTCAAAGAGACAATTTGAAAGCTTGAATGATGGCTTGTGTTTAAGATAAAGTTGACTTTAATAAGTCAGGGACATGTTTTACAATTGTTCATGCGATAATAGGGAAATCCAAAGATATTCTTAAGCATCCAAACACCCATTACATGACGATATTTTGTACTTTAAAATTCATCTTTGAAAAACATATTTACTATTACTATTATCCAATGGTTTCCAGTGTGAAGTCTATTCCTGTTTGGAAAATGTCTTTTCCTAACGCTCACAAAATTATCTACCTCACAAATAAAGCAGTTACTCAAAATATCACCTCATAAAAGCAAAGTTTTTAGGATATAAAAATAACAGGTGTGGCATGTATTTTCAATTAGTTCAATTGCCAGCGATTTCTTCTATTGTGACCAAAAGATGCCTACCGATATATATCCACATACAGATATCTGTTACCATGGAGACCTATAGATACCTACATACATATCCTTTATGAATCATCGTATCTGATACCATGGTTAATTTTCATTATGAACTCACCTTTCGATGCAGCTTCTACAGAAAAGTGTATCAGAGCCTTGAAGACATCATAGCCCTTTTGGAAAACCTGAAGTGGAAAACTAGTCACTTAGCAAACAAACTACTACAAATTCAAATATATATCATTAAACGATGCAATGAAGCTTTTGAGACCAGACTCATGGTGTATAGTTCTGACATAATTGCAACCCATAAGAAGTTTTCTGTTTCTTGAGTGAATTCAAATTGTCAGTCCAAAGTCTCCACTTATTGTGTTGCGATATGGCAATGCAATATCGTATTCTGATCCAAGGCCCGCGATGCAAAATACTGATTTACAACTTCTGTGTCAATGTCTCTTATAAACCAGGGTCGGTGTGGTAGCCTAGTGGTTAAAGTGTTCACTCACAACACCAAAAACCCATGTTTGATTCCCCATATGGGTACAACAGGTGAAGTCCATTACTGGTGTCCCCCACTGTGTGTGATATTGTTCAAATAATGCTAAAACTGGTATAAAACTAAACTCAGTTACTTAAAGAAAACACAACAATTTACAACACTGAAAGCTTCTCCAAACAAACCTGTCTGCATCATGTACATGAGATTGGAAATAAAGCTTGCATTCATATGTCTCCATATTGTATGGGAAAGCATCTTGGGATACCAAATAAGGCAGTTCCTGTTTCCACTATGGTCATGTTTCTTATAACTGTGATCATCATAAGTCTATGGTAAAACATACAAGAAAGATTCCTTTGTGGACTCTGGCAACATTGGTCTACTTACCAGAGCTTCCTTCAGTGCATCTCTGAGAGACTGATCCAGTGCCAACTTCTTTTCTGTTTCACTGTAATGTCAGTCCGAGTTAAACAGTATGCATAAATGTCAATGCGGGCATCTTAAAACCAGAACGTTACCAATTAAGGAAGTCCCTGGATTTAAATATGCAACCAGCAAACCAGGCTGCTATGTTGGCTACTTTGAAAATCAGTTGTGATCCTCTTAAACAGACTCAGGGGTCATCATGATGTTTATTTGAACCCACGATCGCAGGTTTCTAAAGAGCCAAAGGGAAGCAACACTGCACTGAGGATTTGTAGACATGTTTGTTTATATAAGTACAGTCAAATCCCGATGAGTCGAATGCTGGCATCTCGAATATTATGCATAACTCGAAGTACCTGTCGGTCCCAATCATTCCCTGTTATAGTTGTCATTATTTGAATACCGGTTACATGAATTCGTCTCATAAATACACACGATGACTCGAGAAGGAAATTTGGTCCCATGAGATTCAAACAACAGCAATCTTGTACACATAAGCCGAAGTCAGTCAATGAGAATTTATTGGTGTAGCAAACTGATCCAATTAACAAACCACTGCGGCTCACACCTTTCCGCCATTGACGGGTGAGTTCAAAAGGCAGATTAGTGATTTAACGGAAATCACTGTCTGTGCTAATCAGACTGGAACTGATAAGGTGCCCCTATAAGTGATATGGAAATCATTAGATAAACAAATGCTTAGGTGGAGGAATTAGGACTGGATTATCTTTTTTTCTACCCTCATAGACATACCTATGTCTTGAATACATGGATAAGTCGAATTTATAACTGGGTCCCCAGCGATTCGACTCATCGGGATTTGACTGTAGTCACACATCAGGTAACCAAATTCTAATCATTTAGGGAGAAATTATGCAACAATCTTTTAGGAATAAACTGCACACAAAGCTTTCAAGGGAACTGTCATAGATCTGTGTATTGACAGAAAAGAATAAGAAAATCTTATAGTTGTACTAGCTAAAGGTTGATCCCGGTAAGTGACCTCAACATATATATTTTTTCTGACTGATTTATAACATTGATAACATGAAACATGCACTACCCATATGATAAATCATAATATCATGTCATTTACAATTTGATCATAGCTAACAGTACTAATCTTGTATTGGAATACGAATGCTACACCAATTCTTTTAAATCCAACATGATAATAATGTCTATTCACCCGCCAGAATACTTGTCAATACCCTCAAGAGTGGTTTGGATGTCTTCACTGGTACTTGCATGATGGAGAGATTCCTGAAATACAAAATCATTTGTGCAACAGTGAAATCATGAACAATGATGAACATGATGTCATAGAATAAGGTAGAGTTGTATGATAATGCTAAATATACATATATTTGAAGAACGACTTCATTCTTTGAAAAGATATGGAGTCACTGTATCATGATCATACAAATGTGGCTGAAAAACTGCTCTAGTGACATAATATTTTAACATACTCCAAAACGGACATGTATTTCAAATTGTGCATTGTTGAGTCCTTTCAATAAGTCCACTACAAATAATTGTTGAGAGACGGTTAAATAACTATTTCATAACATTAAAAAACACATGTAATGAGAAAGGAAAATTGATCAAATGTGTCACAAATGTCCATAACTTGCACATGTATCATACTATCAAACAAAACATACCATGCTAAACACCCCTTGACTAACTTCAGTGCCAATCTGTATAAGTGGCCAATACACATAAAAAGTCCAAAAATTCATAGGGCAGTCCACATGGTCCCATTGGCCAAGGTGTCCATGTGTATTACAGATTAGAAACAAGAAGGGGTCCATAACTGCAAATCTTCATTTCATCATAATGATCAACATTGAGATGGTTTTCTACCACTAGCACTGACAACAAACATGCCAATGTGTTGTAAGCCTGTACGACTTTTATAAACACTCAACTCTGGCAATTTTCTACATATGTAGCGTGTTTATTAAAGACAACATACACTATTATAAAATAGAGATGTACATTATTTTCACACGCTTATCTATTTATTTGTTTATATATTTGGTGCGATTATGGAATATGTTCGCCACCTTATTTTGTAACTATTTTACCATGTTTACCAATAATTCTTTCCTCTAATACTCAGGTTTGGGTTAGGTTAGGTTAGGTTTCTTTTTCTTTTCTCCATAGATGTGTATGCGATGATCTGATATGATCATGGATGACTACGACAACTCCACAACAACCACCGCGGAAGTGTAGCCTCGAGTCGGACGGTGGCTGTATTTCTCAGCTTTTATCATTGTTTATGCACGAAAACCGAGACGCAGTCATGGAAACTGTTTTTAGTGATACATTTAAACGGTGGTGAAAAGATATTACAACACGTATAAGAGCTCTTCATTAAACCTTCTAATAAACGGCTGAAAAAAAACAAGATAACCACCACCACACATACCGTAAACGTTTTTCTACAGCCTGAAAAGTCGAACTGCATGGAGGCAGCCATGTTTGTTTTTCTACACATAAAGTGTGACGTATTTCGCAAGCACCAGAAATCGCTGGTACCGTGTCAACATCGAGAAACTTTTAAATCTCTTCGGGTGTACATACTGTGGTTTCATCGCTGCAGTGAATATACAGATCGTGTGGCTTTATTTCAGTAAGCATGTTTTAATGTAATTGTGACTGCGACAGAATCATAAAGTATAAAGCAAATTGCAGATCGCTCATCAGCTGTCTAGTGTCTCTCGTATCGTGATTCTTCTTACGTGTCTATGACCGGCGGCACCTTGTTATTGGTCCTCCCTCCAAGTGATGGATCGCGACTGAAAAGCTGTTGAAAACAGCAATATACCTCAGCTCACTCATATCTGACAACCACTCAGGGAGATCCAGGTTAAAATTGGCCTTCAGCCGCCCATGCTTGTAGTAAGACTAAGTGGGGACCAAGAGGATTTAGTGGTCAGTGTCGTCGGCTTTGTTGATGCATGTCATTATATCCCAGTCGCATAGGTTGATGCTCATCATGTTCATCACTGGATTGTCTGGCCCAGACTTGATGTTTACAGCCGTATAGCTGGAATATTTGTGAGTGTAGCGTTGCAATACAAACAATCAGATAACGACTATATATATGCTTTTATTCTTTGCTACAGGAAGACATTCAACAAAACTGTGTGATTAAAAGGAGCAGTGCTTGTGATGTCCAGATTTCCAGTTGAACCAAATGAAGGTCGAAGACAAGTATTTCCAAACATGAAGTCAGACAAAGTTTCTTTGCCCATGGGAACAGGGGGCGAGACGAAAGAGGAGGTTTCACTGCTTGGCATTGATCTATCCAACCTCTCACGGAGCATGCAGTTTATAATTCTAACTGTGGCAACCTTCTTCTTTTACCTCATCTATGGCTATCTTCAGGTAATTATATCTGTAGTCATGGCAACACCATGTACATTTATTAGGTTCAGGTGAAATGATGTTTTGTTTTGTTGATATTTTGATACAAGACTATGTTTGTAATTTTTCAGAATATTACATAAGTTTCAGTTCAAAATTTACAGGCCTTGCAGGTCAGAATAGCTCTTCAGCAACCTTTGTTTGTAAAGAATGATTCAATGGACAATTGGAAGGCCACAGTCTGTGTTGATTCATTGCCCAGAAAGTATCAATCTTGAACTCATGGTATGACGTGATCATATTTTGATGTAAAACATGTTTATATTCTTTCAGTGTTCACACAAATTTGAAAAGTGATTGAATCTGTCATTTTATGATCAAAGTGTTGGAAAAGTACTTTTGTTTTATTGTTTTATTAACAGTTCTTGAAAAAACTTGGACTGTAAATAAAATCAGACTAGTTGAATTATGGAAACCAAATCATGGCTGATAATTGTTAACACTTGAGTTTTTATGAGTTGTTTTCTTCCAGTCTTTTACAAATAGAAAGGAATACTTTTTCTTCTGTCTATTATGGCTTGCATGGCAACAGTTCCTTTGCACATTGTCTCACTGAATATAGTTGGTTGTTATCATCATGATCATGTCACACATAATTCTCAATGGAATCAAAAGGAGGTTTTGAATGGCAGATCGACCTGTGACAGAAACTAGGTGGAAAGTTTGCTTCAAATCATGGCAATGTCATGTTTAAATCATGGGAAAGTGTTTTTAATGAAAGAAAGACTAACTATTCATGTGAAGATCTCAAAAATTTATAATCTGTTCTGTTTTGCTCAGTGATACTGGTGTCACTTGATCTCAGTTTCAGATTTAAAGAGATTCTTGAAAACACATGTGTTTCTTCGGCAAGTGATTAGAAAGTGCCTGAATCTAGAGTATAAAATCTGAATAAACCCTGTGTTTAAACAATTTCTATTATTTGAAAATGAATTATAAAATTCCAAGTACTTTGAAAAATCTAAAGCAGCGACTATATTTTATGACAGCAGTAGTTAAGTTTGTTAAACACATCCTCGCCCATCAAATCTGAATAGCTGAGAAAGAAGTGAGGTTTTGTATCTTTGGGTCAATGTTTTTTGACACAGGACTAATTTGTCCTTGTCCTTGAAAAATCGCCACCAAACTTTCCATGCTATAAGAGGCTGTTATCTTGGATTGAACAGTCAATCCATGCTTTTGATTATCTGTCAATCTACCTTGACGATGTGTGAAATATATATGAAATTTCTATTTCAATATGATTGGACCGCCCCCATGGTGTCGTGGTTAGAGTGTCTGCTCAGACACCGGAAAGATGATAGTTCAAACCCTGGCTGACTCATACTGAAATGTGTTAAAGATGGTACTTGTTCCTACCCAATACTGTGTTGAAGGCAAGGACTGGTTGACTTGAAGCCTGTATTTTGAGTGGTACCAATGTTAAACTGCAGCATGGTATTTCAGTTGGCTAGCATTAGAAAAACTCATGGATTGGTCTTTGAGTACAAGCACACACACACACACACACACGTGCAATAACCTGGAACAAGATGTTAAACCCTGTGTGATTCAATCAGTACATATTACAGATACACTCACTGGTCCTATCAACATGATAAAGATAGGCTGCCATGGTTTCAGTGAAAGACCATTAAAGCCAAACCAATTTTATTTCTTGTTTTACTGGATTGTTGTCCTCAGAAAACCTAAAGGCAGGAGAAAAACAAATAAAAACCACCAGCCAAAGTAATATTCCTTTTACTACTAAAAGCATTTGACTTTTGGCAATTTATGAAGTGTATATGGGGGAAAAAAAACAACAATAAAAATATTTACTTTTTCTTATTCTGACTCATGATCTTTTGCTTATCTCCCTTTCCTTTTCGAATGGTAGTGGAATACTTGAATCCCTTGGAATTCCCAAAGGGACGTAAAAATACACTCACCCACGAGTTACCTCCCTTTTGCCCTTTTCCAGCGGCAAAGGATCTTTTCGTAGCCCATCCGGAAATTACAGAGGAAACTCAGGGAGAGGCCGCACTCCCAGAGGATCCAGGGGAACTAGACGTTGATATCAAGGTTCGGAACGACTGGAGTCTTCCATCCTACGCAATGGATGCTCCATCCAGAAGTGTTCCGGCTCATCATAAGGGAAATAAGATCCCCTTGCACAGACCTGTTTGCCACGAGGTTCAACAAACAATTACAGACGTTTGTCTTACCGGTTCCAGATCCTCAAGCCTGGGGAACAGATGCACTGAGCATATCTTGGGAAGGACTAAACACTTACGCGTTTCCACCCCCGATATTACTACCGGAAGTACTGCTGAAGATCAAACAGACACAGGCGCTACAACTGACTTTGGTGGCGCCATACTGGCCAGTGAGAGTATGGTTCCTAGACCTAATAGAAGACCTCGGAAGTCCAACAATCAAGTTACCAGATTGGCCGAACCTACTCATACATCCGCACACCAAGCAAGTCCATGGGAACCCGACAGCGTTCCAGCTACACGTGTGGACCGTATCAAAACAACATTTGAAGAAAAGAGGATACTCCGCCAGGGCAGCCAAGGCAGTAACGCTAGTGTTACGCAGATCTACTTGTAACATGTATGATGACAAGTGGCTGAAGTTTGAGACTTATGCAAGGCGGAAAGGCTTCACTGCGATGAAAGCTACTCATCCTCAAGTGGCGGAATACCTGTGTCATCTTAGACAGACCAGACATCTGAAAGGTTCGACATTATCTACATACCTCGCTGCCATCAGTACAGTGATTACCATGAAAACAGGCATCAAGTTGATGAAAGTACCAGAATTACTTGCTCTGCTGAGATCTTTTAAACTGGAGGACCAGCAAAAGAAGTTCAGAGCTCCGGCCTGGGATCTGAATGTAATTCTACGTCATCTTACGAGTGATGCCTATGAACCTCTAGACCAGACTACCTTCGAGCTGCTGACACAGAAGACTCTGTTCCTGCTTGCGCTAGCCACGGCAGCTCGAATATCAGAGATACATGCGCTGGACTTTGGTCGAACCAGATTCGACAAGGGGCAACATGCTGCAGTTCATCTAGGACTTAGATGGGACTTCATTGCCAAGAACCAACTACCTGGTCAGCCAGATAGACAGTTCCACGTACCAGCGCTATCTACAATCCTCGGCCCAGAGGATATAGAAGACTTATCCTTGTGTCCGGTCAGAGCCCTGAAGATATATCTTCAAAAGACTGAGACAAGGAGACGAAAATTCAAGAGCCTGTTCATCCCATTATCAACAGAGACATCAGCAGAAGTCTCAAGAATGATGATATCGTTCTGGATGAGACACGTCATATTGAGAGCCTATAAAGCAGCAGGACTAGAACCTCCTAGAGCTTCCAACCCACACGAAGTCAGAGCACTGGCGTCAACACTGGCTCTGCACGGAAATTGCTCTATACCAGCAATTATGGAGGGCTGCTTTTTGAAGTCGGACACGGTGTTTGCCAACCACTACCTCCGAGACATAGCCACTGAAGACATCTCAGGCATTCACCAATTTGGGCCTCTCGTTGTAGCACAGCAACTAACGGTTCCTCAAAGGCGTTGAGTTGGAAAATCTCACCCTTTATCACGTTGACTTGTTGATAACTTTTACTAAGGAAAAAGTATTAGTTTGAAAGTCCATGTGCACAGTCTAGGACAGGCTAGCATGAGTGATTAAAGATCCTGTACGGGTAAAGATCTTACCTGTACGTGAAGGGGTCGCAACTCATTTATGATAAAGATCTTATCATAATCTATGGGTTGTTATAAGATATCTAGTAATAAGAAGATACTCGTTTATCTGTAGCCACATGAATCAACATGATTCAACTTGTCTGAGACTGAAGTAAGACAAGAAAGTGGTCCCCCCAAGTTATAACGGAAGTTGGTAGAATAGGATCACGGAAATGCCGTTTCTCAGTTCCCATGGGGGGATACAGGATGTATGTAAGGACAGCTGATGAATCCATGAAGTGGCTTGACCCACCACCAATCCGTCGGATTCTATAAGCAAAAGATAATGAGTCAGGTTAAGAAAAAATATGTAATTTTTCAAGTACAATTGATATTTTATACTTATCCTGACTCATGACGAGAAGCCCTCCCAACCTCCACGCTGAAGACAATTTGTATTTCACAGCAGATCCAAGTGCATGGGCAGAAAATCAGGAGAGAGTGACAAGTAAGGCTGGTAACATGACTGTTTGCGCTGGAAAAGGGCAAAAGGGAGGTAACTCATGGGTGAGTGTATTTTTTACGTCTGCTTCGGGAACTTCAAGGGATTCAAGTGTTCCACTACCATTCGAAAAGGAAAGGGAGATAAGCAAAAGATCATGAGTCAGGATAAGTATAAAAATATCAATTTTACTTGAAAAGTTACATTCTTGCACATTTACATTTTTGGCCAATAAAAATATTAAAATTTTATGTTTTGAGTGGGGAAAATTATGGGTTTTTTTCTTTTCTTATTTGTGCAAAAATACGACCAGTGGATCCGTAAAACAAGAAATAAAATTGGTCTGGCCTAAGCTGCCATTTTCTCATTTTCTTTCAGGAGCTAATTTTTCAACTAAAAGGGTTCAAACCTTTTGGCTGGTACTTGACATTGGTGCAGTTTGCCTGCTATACACTGTTTGGACTCGCTGAGCTGCAGTTTAAGCAGGACAAGAGTAGAAAGTAGGTTTTGTTTCCCTGTTTACATTAGAGTGTATAGTTATTATAATATTCATACAGTGTATACAATACTGCACTTATCTACCAGTCTACGACTTTAGCCACTAGTCCAAATCCTGGTCTACAGAAAATGATTGCTATAGCCAGACTGGGCTTGTAGACTCAAAGTCTTTTGCACAGTTCTGAGTAAATATAGAGAAATGTAGCTTTACATCAGAGAGATCTGTCAACTGATAAAGATTGTAAGTATGGTAAGATTCCTTTTTTTAGTGAGTTATGACCTTTTGATCATAAACAGTAAGAAAGTTTAACTGAATGTAGCCATAACTGTAACTGTCCCGACATTTTGATTTCATGCATCTGCAATTCTTTGTCTTTTACATAAGATTAAGAAAGAATACATGAAAGAATTGCTACTTTATCATATATCTTTGAGTGTCAAGTTAGTGGTTAGGTTATCTGTGTTTGTAAGTGAGTTTAGTTTTATGCTGCACTCAGCAATATTCCAGCTATATGGCAGCAGTCTGTACATAATCGAGTCTGGACCAGACAATCCAGTGATCAACAGCATCAGCATCAATCTGTGCAGTTGGGATACGATGTCATGTGTCAACCAAGTCAGCAAGCCTGACCACCCGATCCCATTAGTCGCCTCTTACTGTGTTTATGTACGGTACTACCAGAGTTATGAAAGTTGTATCACGAAGATGGGTGTGTTTCTTCTTTACAGGATACCCATGCAGGCCTACTGGTTACTGGCCTTTCTGACGGTAGCCTCGATGGGATTGTCTAACACATCGGTCGGCTACCTCAACTATCCCACTCAGGTGATATTCAAGTGCTGTAAGCTGATCCCAGTACTCATTGGAGGAATTCTCATTCAAGGTAATCTAACTGTATATTTCATGATGACATTTAGGATATTAAATATGTGCTCTTTTCCAATTCATGGTATGTGCAAGAATGTTCTAAGTACTGTCAGGCAGTGGGGTAGCCTAGTGGTTAAAGTGTTCGGTCGTCACGCCAAAGACCCAGGTTCAATTCCCCACATGGATACAACGTGCAATGCCCATTTCTGGTGTCCCCTGCCGTGCTATTACTGGAATATTGTTAAATGTGGCGTAAAACTGAACTCAGTCTCAGAAGTGTCCTATATACCCTGTCTGTGGCATAACTTATGGCTACAAACATAATTGAATTTCCATGTCTCACAATTTGAATCACACTCACAGTCCTTCTGGTCCATGGTCTGATGCCTGTCCACATGACCAAAGAGGTTAACCCTATCAACAAGCAGACATAGTAAAGATGTCATCTGTTAGATGATTCCACTCCCTGCTGCCTAATCCAGGGACACGTTCTAGGGTACCGAGTCTTTTTTATCCCGAGTTTTATGTGAACATGCTCAGCCTTGTCTTGAGTAGCGGTTATAAAATGCCCTGTGATGGGATTCGATCCATGGACCTTCTGATTTGAGGTCCGACACTTTAACTGTAACTAAAGAGGTTAACCCTGTCAACAAGTTGACATGCTAAACTAAACTCACTCACTCACTCACTATTTCTTCAGGTCAGATGGCAACTCAGATAATCAGTGTATTGATCTAGTATCAGATGCCAACAGATGCAATGTCCTATTCTTTATTTCAGGAAAGAAGTTCAACGCTATCGACATGACAGCATGTCTAATGATGAGTATTGGGCTTGTCCTGTTCATGCTTGCAGACTCGAGTGTCTCGCCAAACTTCAACCAGTATGGTAAGAGTTGTCCCCCTTTATCACTGTCAACTAGAACACCAAGTTCATATTTTTATTTCTTATTCTATTGTCTAATCATGTCCATCAAAATAAAGAAGTTGACATCCATCAAATTCTTGCCTTTATGTTCATCACATCATCTTACATCAACCCAGGAATGAGGTGGTGCGTCCTGCTTATAGCAAGGTTATCTTGAAATTACAATTGTCATGTCAAGAAATTAAAATGTTTACCTCCACCAGGTGTCATACTGATATCTCTTGCCCTGTGTTCTGATGGAGCCATTGGGAATGTCCAAGAGAAAACACTCAAGAAGTACAGTGCCTCAAACTCAGAAATGGTAAGTGTGGCCACTATAAGTTTTGATTTGATGGATGTTTAAAACTTCACAGAATAGTAAAAAAAGGACAATATGTCATGAATAATGACCTCAAATTGTTTAAATTTGGTGTGTTTTTCAGTCTCAGTTTCTTTTTAACTATATTTATGTTTCCTTTCCCCACCCACTACCTCAACAAGTTAACCATGGAGATATGGGAATATTATAACAATATGAATGACCAAATGGGTGCAGCAGTTGGTGCAAGACTTGGCAGCTGATCACACACATTCATGCACTTTGCTAGTTGAGATTGCTATTTCATTTCATGACATTGTATTTCTTTAAAGTAGAGAAAGAACAGCAACTGTTACTGGGGATAGCCTAGTGGTCAGTGCGTTTGTTTGTTATTCCTAAGGCCTGGGTTCAATTCTCAACATAGGTAGAATGTGTGAAGCCCATTTCTGGTGTTGCCACCACACTATTTCAGGAGTAATTTGCCATCAACAAGATTGGCTTGCTTAGGATTATAAATGGGCTATCCTAACATCACTTGTTGAAGATGTTGAAGTTAACGTGGTATAGGGCCCGTAAGTAGGTCACAGCACTTCACGAGACCTCAGTACTTCTGGTGACAAACAATGTTTCATACCTTTCGAATGGTCTCATGGTTGTCAGTTGACAGTAAGGAACCGATAATCCTTGCAGGAATAACAAATTTCCAATCTAACCATCCCCAAATTAGCCAACTAGTAAGACTGTCAACAGCTGTGACAGCCAAGCATGGTTGTACACTTGGTCGTATATTTGGTGGTCGCGCAATTTGGAACAAGAACTGGTTCTTGAATATATGCTTGTCACCGGAAATCTGGTACCGGAAGTAAGCTGGGCTCTGTCTCACATATCGCAAGTTGGTGCGCTCAAAGGGAGGCGGGAACCAGCACAGTATCAGAAATAGCGCCTCCCAACACTTACAGGGGTTCACTTCCCAAAAGACAGACTCAATGAGTACACTAATTAGCTGAGCCATGCTGTCCACCCCTATTTAATTAATGAGCTGACCTAGAGTCACTTCAGGGAATAGTAACAGCACACTCCTATCTCCTGTGCCCTTCTCAAAACATACTAATCCTTTCACTGAACAGAACAGAATAGAACCGAAATTTTATTCTCAAAAATCACATATAGTGACACAGAGAACATACAGCATATTGATACATATTATAACATTGAACAAAGTCCAGTTTTGATAAAATTGTCAACTTTAGAGTAATATTGAGGTCCTATTGTTTTCTGTGACTGGTAACATGATATAGATTATAGGATGATTCAGAACATGTATTACAGTGTAAATATACTCATCCTCCTCAGTCACTGCTAAGGGTAATGTAAAACATTATGTTGCATGATGAGTACACTGACCTCATCTGAGAAAATGCCATTTTCCTGGTTCCTGTTTACAGCCAGCTTATATGCTGTGCAGTCACTTCAGAAGTTTATATACTGTGCAGCCAGTTGATCACTGCTGCCTGCACTATGTTCAGTGGAGAGAAAAAAACATAAATGTCTACCAGTGTTGCTGGAATATTGCTACAAGCAGCATAAACCAGGCTCATTCACACAAGAAATAAATAGGGGAGAGATGGTTTGTATAAATCAGTAATCTACACCTGTCACAGTCAGCTCTAAAACTCCAGCAGATGTCAGGAAAAATTCAAATGAATTTCCAAATTGTCAAATAAATATGACAAAATGACAAAAAGAAGAAAGTTTTTTAGTAGGTAGTACCATACTGCATTGAATGTTGAATTACAAAGTTAAGACATGCTTGAATGGATCACAGTTAGCTTACAGAGGGCACTTCACCTGACTATACTGGATAAGTCCTGTGTGTAGCTGTAAAATTCATGGAAAACATTTCCCATGTGGTCTTGATTCCGTTTCAGGTGTTGTATTCCTATGGAGTTGGCTTTCTCTACATTTTGGTAGGACTCAGCGTCAGCGGCCAGATAGTTCCAGCGTTTGTTTTCTGTCAGGACGTAAGTTGTTACTCGTGTGTTAGATAAACTTACTCCATACCATGCATACTAGTGGATTGGTAATTTTTCTTTTTGATGGAAATAATATTTCATGTTGGTGGTATGTTTATGACCCAGCTTTTGTATTTAGTGTGAATTGTGTATTTGTTCTATATTGTTGATGGAATAGGGGTTGGTTTGGTTGGTTGGTTGTTTAACACAGCACTCACAAAATCATTATACAAAATTCAAAGCAATTCAATTACAAGTGTACAAACAGTTTCTCTACACTGATAGTCTGGTAAAATCAAATGAGCATCTACTGTGAACAACACACATTATTATACAGATTTTGGACATATTATATACAATTACAGCTGAATCTTGAACACATATGCATCCTGATGATATCACTGAAAGCTGAAGATAACATCTATGGGGTGAGCGAGTGAGTTTAGTTTTACACGCCACACTCAGCAATATTCCAGCTATATGGCAGCGGTCTGTAGATAATCGAGTCTGGACCAGACAATCCAGTGATCAACATCATGAGCATTGATCAACGCAATTGGGATACAATGATGTGTCAACCAAATCAGCAAACCTGACCATTCGATTCCTTTAGTCACCTCTTACAACAAGCATGGGTTACTGAAGATCAATTCTAACCCTGATCTTCATGGGATGTGTTACAGCATGTAGTGAAGACCTACGGCTATGCAGTCTTGTTCTCCATGTCTGGTTACCTGGGTATCAGTGTCGTCCTCACCCTGGTCAAGTCTTTCGGGGCACTTGTAGCTGTCACAGGTAATATTTAGTCAGAGCCATGAAATAACGTAAACCTAAATAAAGTTAGTATGAACAAGTTGAATTGTTTACCTGCATAGACTCTTATGACTATCATTCTGTCTTTCCAACCTGATCATGAAATGCCAGGCCAAATACTCAGTGCTTGCAAAGTATCAGATGAACACATTTGGTATTCTATGATCAAAATGGATACATAATATAGAAGTTATTTAAAATCATGAATTTACATGGATGACCACATGGGAAGAATATTTATGATCTATGACCTGTCTGAATTACGTCTTATTGTTGAAATTGACACTGTATTAATGGTTCACTATTGTTTCAGTGACCACATGTAGGAAAGCTGTTACCATCGTCCTCTCGTTTCTCTTCTTCACAAAACCATTTACATTCCAGTAAGTATAAACTGTTTCCTAATGCAGCTGGGTCCATTAAGTGCACTCAAGGTGTACTCAAGTGATCAGTATTAAAGTACAGGTGTTTTCAGGTTTCCAATATATACAGGTGTACTCAAGTGATCAGTAAGTACAGGTGTATTCAAGTGGCCTATAAGTACAGATGTATTAAAATTGCCAACACATACAGGTGTATTCAAATAACCAATGCATACAGGTGTATTCAAGTGACCAATAAGTACAGTTGTATTAAAGTTGCCAATACATACAGGTGTACTCAAATGACCATAAAGTACAGGTGTACCAATTCAAGTTGTCAATACATACAGGTGTATTCAAGTGACCAATACATACAGGTGTATCCCAGTGACCAATAAGTACAGGTGTATTCAAGTGACCAATAAGTACAGGTGTATTCAAGTGGTCAGTAAGTATCCATGTTTGAAAGGATCAGCGTGGTCACAGACACACATGCTGAGCCTTCAATACCTGGTGTTGGTGTGTTGTTAAATACCACACCAAGCAATATTCCATTGATATGATGGCAGCCTTTATCTAATCAGCTCCAGACAATCCATTGATTCACCCTGTGTGTATCATTCCACAGTAACATCCAATCTTCAAAGTAAGCCTGACCATACAACCTAAAGTGACGTTCAGCCAGCCCAGTGGTCTCTTTGTGATGCACTAGCCAAATCTCTTTGGCTGGCCATGTATTTCAGAGGGACCCTGATTACAGTCCTCAGAGGGAGAGTAAGGAGCAGAAGTTTGTGGGACTTCAACCCTTGCATCTCATTAAAAAAGGGAGATAATTCAGTGACATGAAGTGCAGACCACTAGACATTTTTGTTACATAATGTTTGTAAATACTACATTTTTCTGTCTCAAAATGCCATATAGACTAGATGAGTGTTGTATATATGTAATATCACATTGTTACATCTCCAGATATGTTTGGTCGGGTCTGGTGGTGGTGCTGGGGATCTACCTCAACCTGTATAGCAAGAACAAGGTGTCCTGGGACCAAAAGTTTAACAAGTTCCTCCAGAGGTGGAGACTACGACCCAGGGAGTTAGAGGCAGAGAATATTGTCTGATCTGTGATACATTTGTGGGAATGTACATTTTCTATGGTTTTTATTGTGGGTTATCAATGGATATCAAAATCCAGGTAAAGGCGGCATCAGAATGCTACATGAGTGTTTTGAAAAGATGTTGAAATCATGAACAGTGAAATCCTCAATTTGTTCATCATGTTGGGTACCTGTTCTTGTGGGTTTCACTAAGGTATTAAACCTCGGACACCTGCATCATGTCCAGCTGTCCTCCCACATCAAGCAAACACACTGTGATATTAGGGACATCTCACTAAACATGAAAGGTTTTTGTTTGGTAAAATATTTTATTGAAATAAGTAGGTTTTTTAAAGCCACATTTAAATGCTTATAGGGTACCCCAAGGGGACTTTTCTTCAGAGAATTCATAACCTCTACAGGTTTGTATTTTTGATGATTTGTAGAAATAGGCTTCCTAGCTGTTACAACTGATATCGGGTTTGAAAAAATAACACAAACAATTCTTATCATTGATGAATGCTTGTTGTTTTTAAATGAAGGGCCTTCACCTCTAACATCTACATCTATCAGCTGCTAGATCCATCAGGTGAATTACCACTCGTGAGCCAGGTGATAAACAATATGATCCGCCATTGACGAAACTAGGCTTCTCCCATTCTCGCGGTATTACCAGGAATTAACGTTATTGAGTGTAGTTAGAGCAATCCTGTCGGAAAGGGCGAGAAAAAGTAATGATATGTCCAAATTGGTATAAACTCCCCAATATTCATGTCACTGCAAGATTTTGTTCACTCACAGACTTGGTCCACTTCCTAGTTACCAGTCGGTGATGTAAACAACCGGTAAGTGTTGCGCATCGGCGATTTCGGCAGAAAACGTGTGTACCGCGAGAATAGGAAACCCGCGAGAATAGGAGATGGACCTATACATTGTACCTCCTCCACTCCAAATAAAAAATAGAAAACAAAGTAAGGGACACCCCCACCCACCCCCCACTCCAACATGTAGAAAATCAGGACACCCACAACCCCACCCCCAAGTACATTTTTCCAAATTTAAAGATCCCTCTTCCTCCCCAGAACAAAATGGGTGACCCCCCTTAGAATCATCATCACCCCCCTTGCCATAAATTATGAATGGTCCCTTGCTGAAATATATGGTATACATTCGGCCATCTGTATCATTTTGTGCAGTTTTCAGATCCTGCTGTTGTTATAAAACATGGTACAGTTTTGCCATCAGTTTGCTGGCCTGAATATGTATCATACATCACTGCGAAACATATGAGTGTGTTTCTTGTTTCATATAAAACATTGTGTTGGAAGAATGTTGAAGTTGTGAAGTAACTCTGTGTAAGGTTTGTGTTGATTTGTAGTCCACCTTTCATGATCTCTCATTGGTAATACAGAGATCTTGTTTCATGACAACAATGATACCAGGGCCAAGATTTTGAAGCTCTCTTAGAGCTAAGATAGTCGTAAGTTTATGTTAATGTATGACTATCTTACCGCTAAGAGAGTTTTGAAAATCTAGGTGCAGGAGTTAGCTTATAAAAATGTTCTAGATTCATCTCAATCGTATGTAAAAGTGTTTTTAGTGTTCATGGATGTCAGTTCTTAAACATAAACAGGCTAGTATTGATTCAACAGACTGCTAGTTCAACCATTAATACAATACAAAACTCAAAACAAAAATACAAATCTCAAAGCCTCACTCGGTCTGTTATCAGCTGGTGAGAAAACAGTAGACCATTTGCAGCGAGGTGTAATTTTTTCAGTTTATGGAAACATAAATGCAACAGAAACGTTTTTCACACAATCAATTTTTACTGAAGCATTTGCAATATTCTCTCAAGTAAAGTGTGAGTCTATTTTTCTTTAATTTTCTGTACTGCTGTAAAGTTGAGTATGGACATGTAAAACACAAAATAACATTGATGACCTTACCTCGAATTGAGGATGAATCTGAACTGTAGAGATGATTTGCATGTATTTCCGACAGCTCTGTAGTGTTGCTAGCATCTGTATGTGGAATACTGATGTAGAAATGTAATGATTGGGATGATCTGTTGCCATAGGCAGTGATATTTATACTGTCACAGCATGTGGGGACACCTTAGGCAAGTGACTTTGTTTGAAATATGCCTCGGTTTCTGCCAGCAGTGAATGGGTACCCGGTGGGTTGAGATGGAATTGTGAATGTTAACCTCACACTTCACAGGCAGCTAGAGTTGTACACTCCCCATGGAGCTGGGAATGAAAATTGAGAGCACACTGATCCAATGACAGGGTAATAATGCTGCAACATAATGACGGTTCACAATGTGAATGGAAATATGCACATTATATACTGGACAAAATAAGTTAGGGATATTGGTATTTTTATGTTTGATATTTTATCGGTGTGTCAATGAATAAATTGATCATTATTCATAATTTCAAAATTTACATATATCCCTAACTATTTATGTCCAGTATAAATATACTACATTATTAGTTGTGATGATGTTGGTCTCTGTATTTAATATGAAACCACATTCACTGGGGCTTGTAATGCAAAAAGCAATAGCATCAAGGTATATATCGTCACAGCGGGGATCTTAACACTGTATAAAAGGATGCATTCAGAATCACATGCATGCAAAGTGTGTCCAGCTTTCTGCCTTGCTCCAAAGGAAGAGATTTGCACCAAATAAACATATTGTCACTTATTAGCATTCTTTTTATGACGATTAAAGCACCTGTATTTTCAAAGTGCCTGGGAACTGTTTCTTCTATTATTTTAGGTACACTTTTAATGTTTCATTTACTTTTGACTTATTGTTAGTCTCATGTGTTAGCAATAACTGGTGATATTGGTATGTGTTTTAGTGTGAATGTGGTTTTAATAGAAAGAAAGGTGGTATTGTTAAATTATGGATGAAATGATACTCGGTGACCATGACAGGCATTTTTTGTGTGGGAGTGAAAGAATTCAGCATAGTGTTTTGAGGTTTTCGTGATATACTGGTGGAAATAGATTTTCCAGGAGTTCAGTACATGTCTCAAAACTTGAGTTACCTTCATATCTGTATTTATTTTTTATATATGTATATATTTTTTAAAGTGATAAATTGACAAAATTTCAAATTGCTGTTCAAAAACTACTATGTAGCGAATATTGATGTGGATGTGAGTAAATTGCATCATGTTGAGAGCATTTTGGAATATTTTCATATCTGGATACCATGAAGAACAACAAATTAGAATTGGAACTGGCCTTCAGCAACCCATGCTTGTCGTAGGAGACGACATGATCAGGTCGTTGATGGTCAGGTTTGGTTGATGAACGTCATCAGGCTTGGTGATCCTCATCGCGTATCCTTGTAGAGATGGATGATTGTGAGGATCGTTGATGGATGATCATGATGTAAGTTGTCTGGTGGTCAGGACTTCGTTGATGAACGTCATCGTATCCTTGTAGAGATGGATGATCATGATGTAAGTTGTCTGGTGCAGATTCGATACTTAACAGTGAATGTGAGTGAGTTTAGTTTTACGCCGCACTCAGCAATATTCCAGCTATATGGCGGCGGTCTGTAAATAATCGAGTCTGGACCAGACATTCCAGTGATCAACATCATGAGCATCGATCTAAGCAGTTGGGATATGATGACATGTGTCAACCAAGTCAGCGAGTTTGACCACCCGATCCTGTTAGTTGCCTCTTACAACAAGCATGGGTTATTGAAGATCAATTCTAACCTGGATCTTCGCTGGTCCAATACTGACCACAATCATAAAACTGGAGTCTTCCTGGTTGTGGTTTTCAACAAGAGGGAGCAAACACTTCCTTATGGCTGAGTTCAATATGTTTTCAAGGTATCCCGTTGATGTATTGATTTTTTTAAGGTCTTCATAAAGTTAAATGTCTCCATAGTACACACTGCCAAGTTGACATTGCAGATATCCATCTGTTGGTTGATCTATTATATATAGATATATACTGATAGAAGAAGTCTACAATCATGAATATTTTGGCACATATACAGCTTGAAGTTTGGCCTCCATGGCTAGTAACTTTCAAATCTGACATACCCTACTGTGAATGGCATGGCACGGGTTGTGTTAAAAGTGCAATATGTGCAAAAATTAATTTGAGTTGAAAACAGAGGTTTCTTAATCATGTTTAAACGAAAAAACAAAAGTATGTGAGGTTTTCATGGGGATGGACTGGTCATGAGATACGAAAATTGTTTTAGGCATGTCATTGTATAATTATTTGAGTAGCATTTTAGGAGTTGAGAAGTGCAATACTGACAAACTTAATGGATAACAACTTCTTTTATTTCATGAGTGATTTATTTCGATACAGTTTCTTGTACCGTTGCCAAGCACAGATGATTCCTGCTTGACAACGGTACAAGAATCTGAATCGAAACATCGCACTCATGAAATAAAAGTTGTTATCCATAAGGCCATACCAATTTTATTTCTTGTTTTACGGATCCGCCGGTCATATTTTTTCAAGAATAAGAAAAAAAATATTAGTTAATTTTCCCTGCTCCAAAAATAAAATCCTCATGTTTTTATTGGCAAAGCATGTAAACTTACAAAAAAAATTGTTGATTAGTTTTTTGCCCCATACACTTCATAACTTGCCAAAAATAAAATACTTTTAGTATGCAAAAAGAATATTACTTTCACTGGTGATTTTTATTTTTTATTTTTTTCCCTCCTGCCTTTAGGATTTCTGAGGACAAAAATCTGCAAAACAAGAAATAAATAAAAAAATTGGTCTGGCCTAAAGTTTGTCAAAAAATCTATCATATACTGCTGAAAAAAGCAGACCACCCTATTCTTTGATATTGCTATAGTTGTTCAGTTATCCCATGAAACAGTAACTATAGTAATATGAAAGAATCAGGTTGTCCTGTACTATTTTTGAGTAATATATTTGAGAGGGCTGTGATTACATTGATTTAAGTACTAGTTTGTGGACTGGGTCTGCATGCACAATGTGATGTTGGTTGAGGAAGTGGATGATGTCTGACTGTGCTCCTGTTGTCAGGTGCATCTATGGGGCTGATCCTTTCGGTCATTGTCATCATGGGGATGGACTGGTCAGGAAAAACAAAAAGTATTTTTAGGCAAGCCATCATATACTTCTTTGAGTGGCATTTTAGAAGTTGTACAATATTGACAAACTTTATAGATGAAAACTTCTTTTATTTCATGAGTGATGAGTTTTGATACAGTTTCTTGTACCGTTGTCAAGCACAGATTATTCCTGGTTGACACCGGTACA